GTTGTTTGTTTGTTTGTTTGTTCGTTCGTTTGTTTGCTTGTTTGTTTGTTTGTTGTTGTTTTCTTCCCGCCAAGTGCAGTACAGTGACAAAACACGGCCTTCATGTTGACAGTCACAGACCAAACAAGCACGAGCAAAAATAGCAATAGCACACTGTTAGAACTCTGAAAGGAATTAAATGTAAAACCAGATTCATTTTACGTTTTAAAGAATTTAAATGTCACCATTTTAATCAATAATATGCTTGAATTTTGGACAGTGCAGTAACGAAAATTAAATAGTACAATTTGATATTAGAGTGCAAACAATATAACCGAAACTTTAGTAATACTAAATAGCATAATTTCATGCAAATTCCATTGTTTTCTGTTGTTTAATTAGCACTATTTTGTACTAATTAGTAATTAGTGTTTCACGGATTAATTGTTTGCACTCTAGTAGAGTACAAACACTAAAAGTGTGCAACACTTTGCACTGTTTAGTAGTAAATAGTATTAATTAAACAATAGAAAACAATAGGATTAGCAAATTTTAGCAGTATTTAGTGGTATTTATGTAACACACTTATAGTGTTTGTGCTCTAATGTTTTTTTTATTGTTTTACTTTCTATTATTTTTTGAATTTGACTCTTATTAAATATATTCATTCTTTTCAGTCTCATTTTCAAGATGTTTTAGCGGCAATGGAAGCATACCTAGATCCAGTTCTTACTAAACTTTACCCTGCCTTGAAGTAAGTTGCCATAGATCACCTTAAAGCACCCTTTTATACCATTCAGGGTGTACCGTTTAAGAAATAAAACAGCTCCGTTCACTAATACAGCACAAGTCTCGAGCAATCAAAGCGCGCGTAGCGAGGTGTCTATATAATAAACCTCATTATTATATCGATATCGATGAAATACCAGGTTTTCTCTAGTGTCGAAAACTTGATATCTTTCACCAGTGGAAGATACCATATCTTTCACACGTGAAGATATCGTTGTTGAATCGGCTTGCTATTTTAATAAAGAATTTTTGAGCTTTTGTTTTATTTAAGTTTCATCGATATCTATATAATAAACAGAACGCCGCTTGGAGATACGAATTTTATCTTCTCGTGTTTAATTTAGATATCTCACTCTTTCGCTGCGCTCCCTCGTGAGATATCAATTGAACACTCGAAGATAAATTTCGTATCTCCGCGCGCCCATGTAATATCCTCTATTTATATTGCGCTTTATTTGTATCTTTTGACAAAAAATGAATTTAGTAAATTTTTAAAAAATTTTGAAATTAAAGTGTACGCAAAGTAAGTGTCTCACAAAATAAGTGTCGTACGGAAAATATACTAAGGGACCGTCAATCATCGATAAAATAAAGA